AAATTAATTTAGGGCTTTTCTTATAAATTCAATAACTTTGCTAAGAAAGGTCGTGTAGAGCTGGAAGACGTCTCGTTTTAATCAGAAATTTCCGGGCTACAATCGTGCCTTATTAAGAAACGTTTTGGTTAGTGTTTTAGAGTTTCTGGAAACCTGGTTTTTCAAAAACCGGGGTCTCCATAGACCTTTGAGGGAAAACCATTGTAATATTCGGATTCAGCACACTCGATTACCTATTGTCCACTAATTTTTAGGCGAAAAGCGATGGGACAGTTAGTGGCCTTCCCTCGTTAGATCGGGAATCCTTTGTACTTCTGATCGCATCTAAGATATTTCAGAAAAAACTATACTAAGATATGGATTAATAATTAATTAATGCTGATTAACGACAATTATGGACAGTTCAGTGATTTACAGTTTTATTTGCAAATCAATAGTTGTTCGAAAATAATCAAACAATACATTACTCGAATCAGCTTTTCAAGCGCCACAAAACTGTATATTTGCTTTTCAAAAGAATAGTTCATTATGAATCTTATAAGGAGTTAATTTAAGACCGCTGGGGCCTCTGACGTCCGAAAAATAATATTTCTTTTGATTCTGGGATAAACCGCAATAGCATATCTCTCTTATTGTGTGTTTTCAGAATACAAATGATTTGACCTTAATCTCACGGCTTAGTAACTAAACAGTTTTTCACAGGTGTCTAGAAAACTTATTTTCGCAACAATCAAAAAGGTAGAGTTTTTATGCAAATTTTCCGCATTTGTTACAAAAAAATGATTCTTAGAAATATTTGATAGTACATTTCATATACAGTGTATAAGCACCTTAAATAATGCATTCTAGTGTTCGCCGTCATGGGGTTTTCACCAAGCGAAAGCCGACACTTGAGAGTATCTTTCCATGCCGATTTTCGGTCAAAAAGTCGATTTTGAGATAGGCACATTGAAAGATAGGCTGAAGTATCTACTTTCAGAATCTGTATCGCTTTCGGTCCTAGAAGTGATTTTCTGTGGTTTTTGAGCAAGTTTTCGAGGGGCTTAGAAAAACGGGATCTCCAAATAATAGCTTTTTCCTGGATACTGATGCAGTTAAACTTTTTTCTAAATATGTAGATTTGTAGAGCAAACTTTTCTAACCAAAATGAAATGTCGCACAACTCTGTATGACCCTTATATTTACGCACCCTTAATGATGCTGAATTACAAATGACATCATGTATGATCCTAACAAAGAAGCGGCAAATAACGAAAATTGAAGAACAATTGACAGTTTTCACTGAGCTTGTTCGGACAGAGTTGAAGGAGGAAATGGCACACATCCTCCGACCGGAAGATGACTTAAATGCCTTCCCCCTCGAAACCAAACTTCATTTTTCAGAAGCAAGACACAACGCAGCAACAATAAATAATGAACGCTTTAGCAAAATCCACAAATGCTCCCCTTTCTCGACTGCATCCTCATTTTTCTCTCTTAGGTTTTCCTGCCCAAGCTCGCAATTATGCTCTCCCACTAACCCATTTTGAGAAAAACATTTTAAACAAAGGACCAAAGTTTGTCTTTCCAAATCGACACAACCCTAATGATTTCACTTCCGACGCTCCAGCCATCTCTTTATACTGCGTAATCATTAGCACCCCGTAACTTTGGTAAATACTCTCGTGAATACCTGGGCGAACAATTTTAATAAAGTTACTGTGCTCTTATAAAAAGGCAAAATCCAGAACACGATTATTTCATTGTGAATTATTAAACGAAGCACTTTTCAAAAGTGTGGTTTGACGAATCATTCTCTCTTGGTCTGTTCTGTTTCTTTGGAAATAAAGTACGTGACAGCGATGTAGCACAACATGCACGATGACTATTGTTCTTATGCTGCACGATAATAGAAAGAAAGGAAAAAGAAGCAAAAACAAATCCTTCCCAATCCGGGAATCGAACCCGCCCTATGAAAAAGTTTGGCGTGAGAAAGGCGGAAAATGTGATGAAGAAATTACTGATTAATTAATTAATTAATGTTGGAGTGATGGTTGTTATAGGAAATGTTCATCAACTTTGTGAGCATGTAGAGGTTATAGTGTATAGTTAAACAAAATTTTAAAGTCTCATTTGATAGAGTTAAAAAGGTGTGTATGATTAGCATGTTATCAGGTATTGTATGGATTATTGTGCGTAGTACGTAGACTTTTTAAGCTGATACCGGGATAGTGAGCAGATAGTAGTTTAGTTTTATTAAGGTTTAGACCAATATAAGTGGGTGTTCATTATTTTTATACTGACGGTAAGGCGCAAAATGTATTATTTCAATTTATTATGAATAATTTCCAAAAAACGGTAATCTAATAATTAGTTTATATTCTTTATCGTCAAATACAGTTAGTCTTTCGATAATACAGTTCATTTCAATAATTTCTGGTACGTCAACGAATTTACCGAAGGCAACAATATTTTTCATGTTCTGATACTGTTCTGGAACAATAATTTCGTTCAACATGTGTCCAAAGGTATACCAGCAGTAATTTGACAAAAATATAAGTTTTATATGGAAAACTTGTTTAACATTATTGTGATAAACGTGTACAACGGTGTCGGTATATATTTTATTTTTTTTTGCTGTTAATTCACTTCTTAGTAATTGATTACACTTGTAATAGCAATGTTTAACATATTCTGCTTCCTTATCCAATATATTTATTTGATCAATTGTTTTTGAATTACTAAGTCTATTCATAGGATACATGCGACTAAACATAACGTTGAACATATTATGCTTTGTATGAAACATTGAACTTGAGCGCCTAGTAATAAAAGAAAAAATGTTGTAATCGTATATTTCATTAAAATGAATTATTATTATTCATTTTAAGATGATAAATTTTTTCTAACATACCCGTAAACAAGGTTTTCTGCGAATACATTTATCTCATTCGATTTATACGGATATATTGTATGTGCAGTAACTGCTTTTAGGTAAAATCCCCAAGCATTTGCTATTTCTTTGTCACTTAATATATGAAAAAGAGGACACAATTCATGCTTACATTGAAACGGTTTTTATAATACAAATGTCTGGATTATTCAGTTATATGAAGCGTATTGCTAAATAATGAAGTTGAAATTAATATACATACATATTCCTATTGCCATTTATCAGATCATGAAAAAATCCATTCACTGCTGCGAATCCAAATGCATCGTAGTTGATAAGTGGCCCAAACATTAAGCATTGTGGTCCAATATGTGCAATATCTTCGACCACCGGTTTGACATGATGTTCGTTATAAAGTAATCCATAATCTTCAACAAAATTTAACAGTATTTCATGACATTGTTGAACTATCACTGTTGTTAAATGTTGTACATCAGACAGCATATAAATCGCGTCAACCAACAGTAAAAAATGATGGAAGTATATGTCATCCAAAAATAATTCCAAAATTGGAAAATATGCCAGAAGGAAGGTACGTAACTCATTGGCTTTGTGCTTAATACCTAAATAGATAGAAGAATGATTTTTTAGCAGTATAATGCTTATGATTGAAATACAAATTGAAATATATCACATACCGTCACAAAATGGTCTGCATGGTTTATATACGGAGGTTGGCAGGTGAATATTATTGAAGGCCGCTTGGAATTCTTCCTTTTTCGCATAAAATGACCAACGTTCTTTCGCATGTGAGGGATCAATCCATAAGGATATGCACTGCTTGGTTACACCTAAGATTAAGATAATAATTATTTTTACTTAAATTTGTTATTCATTGTTTGAGTAATAAAACTTAAAACTCCTGGTTAACATTTATTACCCAGGTAAATGGTATGCATTGATTCAACAATGAATGAATTTGGAAAATGATGAAATTTCAGTGATTGAAGAACACTTGGATCATAATGGCCTTGATACAGTTTAGTACCTTGCTGCAATTGTGTCATGGCATAATTATAAGTTGTTATGGATCGAAGACGATAATTATAATCATATTGACGTGGGAACGACATTATATGTCCACCTTTTACTGTTTTAAAATGTTTACCAGGGTTCAAACAGTATGCACAACCGTACGAACCATTATGCTGAACCATATTCATACATTTATTCTTCATAACTTTATCAGTAACAGTAATAATATTGTATACAGCTATATTACGAATTAAATCCAAATCTTTGACGTATAAATTAATACCGTTTTCTATAGTTAACAGTTGAACACAAATAATTTCAAAAACTTTCTGCAGTAACTGACGATTTATATGAACCTCATTGGCCCATATCCCAATAAGGATAATATTATGAGGTTGAAAGCGTTCTTTCAATGGTAATTCGTTAATGGCTAGATACATAGGAACAAACGAACTTTCTCTTGATTCAAACAATCTTACACCTAAAGTGAACAGAAAAATTAGAAATTTTTCAACATATCATTTAAATATACTAATGTTACCATCGCAATGGAATTAAGTGGTTAATATAATGTCATTGCCCATGTTAACAGTTTCTTCAGCTACTTTTGCATGCAGTGTACCACGAATTATGTCAGATATCATTCCTGTAATAAGTTAACAGTTAGAGCTGTGTCCTGCATCAATCAAAGGCATTTTCTTATGAATACCTGTATTTGTCAATGATACTCCATGTAAATTATTATAAAAATTAGATCTGGAGAATAATAGCTTCAATTGATCTTCTATATTCAGTGTGACAAAACGTAGTACCTTAGATTTTTTTTTCATTTTTGTCCTTTTACAAATTTGGCATCATGTTGATGAAATATGATCAACGCAGGTATCGCATATATAAAATATTTCATAATTTACTTTGGTATTTACGACAGTATCCAGATTTTTTTCTATTTTATATCTTGATTGAAGGGGGCATTCTGAGTTGATCAGTTTATTTAATCGAATAATATCTTCAACGCCTTTCCACGTCCATTTATGATGACTTTTCAACATAGCCATTACTATGCTAAGTCCAACTTTATCTAATACAAAACGCAAATCAACTGGTGGGACAACATTTTTATAATGAATTATGGTATCTTTTACTATAACTGTATTTTCATGCTCATATACATCCTCAGTTTTTTGTTTATCTTCATTATTTGTACTTAATAGTGTTTGAACAATTTCTTCATTACAATGTATACCTTCTAATGTATTGACCAGACTGTATGTTGTTAACAAATTTTCATTATTGAACGTATCATACATTTGAGAAGAACAGCTTATAAGCGATTCCTGATTCTAGATAGACTAAAAATTTTTCAAACAAAGCATTCAAAATAACAAAAGGTATCTTAAAGGTAACTGACATCCTTAACGTCATCTTTAAAAAATAATGTTTATGAATAACATTAAGATAAACTCATTTTTTGAACAAAGTTATTACAAGGTATAGATTTATGGTTAAGTTATCTAATTATTAGATAAAACACACCTGTTCATGTTTTAAATCAGTCATTTTTTCTAAATATTCACACTCAAGTGTCATTTTTCGTTTACGATGACTGTACATTAAACGTTTAAACGCCATACTCAAATTTTTCCACACTAAATCAATACGAAATTAAATTACTCATAATATATTTTTGAGAAAATAATTTAATGTCTTCTGTTTTATTTATCGTAGATATATGAATATAGTATATGACTCAGTCTGTATGAGTCAGGCACCAATTAAAAGTTTCTCTTATAAGTGTCATTGCGTTCTGCGTCCTTCTGTATGATTGAATACCATTAGAACGTATAAGAATGAAGGACGCAGGACGCAAACACTTATACAAGAGAATACTCATACTCACGTGATTTGTTTGTCCCTTAACTTTTGTATCATGAGTCAATAATTACTAATTATGTAAGATAAGATAAGATTTATTTTTGCACTTTAGTTAAAAATAAATCTTATCTTATCTTACATAATTAGTAATTATTGACTCATGATACAAAATTTAAAAAAAATTCGCTGATTATCACTGGTAATTAGCATTAAACGCACAACAGTACATATATAGCCGATGTAGACAAACATTTCTCTCACTTAAAAGAAACTCCTGTAACAATTGTGCTATACATTACTTCTAATTCTTGAAGATCAAAAATAATGTATTGTGAATATTCTGGTACTCCTTGTGTGAATGAAGCACTTCCATTTTGTTGTTATCATTGTGGCCTAAAGTACTGCACACAACGCATAATTCAACATGCTCAGGAAATTGAAGCAACGTAAGACATTTTTTGAAATATACAACTTTCCTGCTGTTATTTGACATTATGATGAATACAAAAATACGCAGTCATATGTTTCTGTTTTCATACGTGCTTGCATGAGCATATTTTCCCGTAAAGAATAGAAAAAGAAAAATTCTTCATAAATCATCTGTCTTTCCATTTTGTTTGCCTTTGAAATATATATATGAACGTAACTATATCGAGAAATCATATGATGTCAGCTGTTTCCTCTTTCTATCACGTTATTGATTCGCAAAATATGTAATAAATGTGTAGAAATAATCGAAGTTTCTCAAAATAGATAAAATACATATTGTCATAAGAGATACAAAGCCATATTTTTCAATGTATCTATTTTAATCAATTAAAAAACATTTCTTTTGCGAAACGAATAATTTGACGAAAAATTGCCTTTCTCAAAATGGATACAAATATAAATATGGAATCTGTCTTGTCTCAAAACAGATACATCATCTCTAACTTCTATATTTCAAATAAAAATGAAATTCAATAACAGGTAGAAACAATTAATATTTTGATAAGTACTTTTTTTGTATAAAATCAATGTTTATTGTTAAATACTGAGACGAAATTGCTTTGAGCATTATTATTTATAAACATTGCGAAAAAATAGTTGACGTTTATGGATAAGAATAAAGACACCGAAGATTAAAATTAACATTTTTCTTTCAAAATAATTTTTTTTAAAATATAAGTACCATTTACCACTTTAAATAATTTTTCTTACGTCTACCACTTATTTAATTTAATTTTTATTTGGAATATAAAAATGAAAGATAATGTATCTCTTTTGAGAAGCACAATATCTTGCTAAAATATTCGTTTCTCAAAACAGATATTTTTTAACTGATAGACACAGATACATTGAAAAATATGGATATCTATCTCATTCGAGACGTAGCCGAAAATATTAATATGTCACATATTACTATATGTTTTCTCGGCTGGTTTTTTATATTAATATAAGTAAATAATTATTTAAGAGGAATAAAAAAGAATATATCGAATAGTTCTTCGGTTATTTTTTGTTTTTAATTCATATTGGGCGTCAACTTATACGACAAATGAAAATTTCTTGCATACTTTATAATAAATGTTAGACCATAGAATCATTATGGATTCCTAATATTTTAAATTGTTTATTCTAGATGCTACTGTTACTGCTCCTAGATGATTATGTATTAAAAACTAGTCGTTTTCCAAATCATCTAATTTTATTTTAATTAATATACATTTTTAATATTTTCTTCTTTACATCAGAAACATAAAAAAAGAAATTTTTTCTTTCTTCTAGGTTCAACGATGATACATGATCAAGTAGAACAACATCTTCGACTTGCAATTCTGCGATTGCTATCCCTATTTTGTCAACAAATCTGTCAAATTCGATAGTGACACTTAATATTACAACTACTTCTTCAAATGTCATACAGACGAACAGTCAACCTCAAGCTGCTTCAAGTCCTATTTCTGGTCATCAGCAATCAATAACTTTTCTTAGAAATCATTCGTTGTTAAGTACGTATTTCATCTTTCTGGTATTAAGGACAACTACAAAAAAACTTCATTTCATTTTTTAGGTCTCCCACGTCGAGCAGTACTATCACAAACCCCATTATTTACAGAATCATATCCTTCTCATGGAATTCTACGCCGTATTTTGCCTTCTATTTCACTTATAGAAACAAATAATCATGACTCACGACAAGAAAATGAACAATCACAAATTCAGCCAATAAATCAAAGTCAACCGACGTTAACAATAACAAATGCACAAATGAAAAATGAACGTTTAAATAAACAATTTTTCCATCTTAGCAACGTATCAACTAATATAAATTATATTGATGTCTTTGATGCAATAACAAATCTATTTCCATCTAAAAATGCAGCACCTACAAATTCAAAAATAATCAGTTACCTTTGTGTTGCTGGTAAGGAATGTTAGTCGTCACTTTACTGTTAATTATAGTTTGAAATATCATATAATTCAGATACTTCTAAAACAACTACATTACAGACAATCTCAGTACATCTTATGTTTACGAAAAGAATTAATTTTAAAACATTATTTTTGAACAATATAATTCCGGGTAAAGTTTTGTTTTTATTAATTGTTAATTGTAACTTAATGAATACTCCTAATCTAGACATTCAAACAAAAGACTACAAAAATGTTATAAATAATGATGTTTTCAATGACAAAATCAAAGCAGAAAGTTTTGGTTTATATATAGAAACATCGGATTATGAGATAAAAAATGACTTTAAATTAACTTCAACCCAATATCGAAACCGACAAGCTCATTTTGCTGCTCTTGCTATGAGTCAAGATACAGTTGAACAAGGTATATTATTTAATATATTTTATATTTTTATAAAAGTTATACTTACTAACCTGTCAAGGTATGATGATACTAAAAGAAAATTAACCGTATGAATTCTTGGTGTACGGTCAGGCAATGAAAAGAACATTACAATCGGAAGAAGAATATTTGAAAAAAAGTAAACTAAACGATTATGTTCCACGATATGCAACGGAAACATATAGGTCTGTTTTTTATTCTACAATAATTATTATATTCAATGAATCAGTTCATTCAGCGTGCCTGATGAATACGTGGATACTGTTAACGATCGGTTACAAAATGATTTACGTATAAACAATGATATTGATCGTTGCCGTTGCTTATTCTTAATTGGAGATTCAGGATCAGGTTAGATGAACTTCTCTTATTCTGCTAACATCAAATCTAACACGTTACTGTTACAATTATAGGAAAAACGGGATGGGCACGTTCTTTTGGTACACATATGTTTCACTTAATTAATTTCAGTTTAAAAGTGAGTTATATGTTTTTATCATGATGTATAAAATAATTTTCATCCATCAATCGCAGGAATGGATTGACGAAGTTAACTATCTTGTTATTGATGATATACCCTGGGAAGATATGAAAAAAAACGCCAAAGGGATTTTACGTGCCCCTGGTGAAATTATACTTACGGCCCATTCGCAACCGGCCCATACATGGGCCGTAAATAACCATAATTATTTCGATGCCAATCTCGTTTTGATGGGCGATCGAGAAGTTCTCGGCATAGTCGACTTACAGGAAAATTCGTGTTTCATCCGCATCTTGTTTGGATGTTTCAGAATAACGTGATTGTTGTCTTGTCACAAAAAACATGAAACAAAAAATGGGGAATCTTTTCTTTCAAAATTCGAACACATTCAGTTACACTACCGTTGTAGTCGACTTGGATGGCACGACCATCATCACTTGTGGTCCATAACGTCCATGCGATATTTTTCTTCTCATTTTTTATTTGTTTCGTGATTTTTTCGTCAAAGCGATCAATACACGTATCACATTTCATCATCATACACGCTTCCGTTTCATCATCACATACAATCAATTCAATAAATGGTCTCAAATCCAATGACTTTAATATATGAATATGATTATATATAGATTTCAATAGTAAATGAACATTTTCATGGTAGATACAGGTGCACGTACTATGAGGAGTCGACGATCTGATTGAGATGTATGGTGGTCGTAGATGTGCAAATGATGAACGACTGATCTGAATCGTAGGATTTGCATTGGTAAATATGCCATACGCTTCACGTAGGTTGAACAATAAAAATCTTCGTTGGTATATCTTCTTCTCACCATCTTCTTTCACGGTTACTTTGCCACGGCGGCCTGGTGCCTGCCACGAAATATCATTACGTATGAAGAAAGATGAAACGACATCGACGGTATTCAATGGAAGGTTTTTAGATCCACGTTGGTATTTTGTCAATGAAAACAATCCTAGTTGTTATCCAATTACCTTGATTATCTCGACTTGTTCTGACTTGTTGGCTGGTAAACTCTCCAAAGCTTGTTTGACAGCTTTTCCCCTCATTTGCTTTGACCCGAACGAGGATTTTCTTGGTACGGGTGATAGTTTTTTAGGTGTTTTGGCCCGATGTTTTCGCAAATTTATGTTCTGTTTTGTTCGTAATTCAGCGAGACGTCGAGATGGTAGACGAGAACGTGCCATATTTTTACGAATTCGATCTTTTGCTTTTAAGATGTTGTGCGAACCATCACGTTTTCTCCTTTTTCTATAGTTTTTCATTCTCTCCGCTGGTGATATTGCCATACTGAACGAAAAATGTATGGTTCGATAAGTTTAATTTAGTCTAAAAGCGGAATTTACGGGAAAAACCAGAGGTTGGGCGACAGAATTATGGAAGTCGCAACCCATGTATTAGCCTAAAAATAGTTTAGCTAATATTATATTTATTTATTGTGTTTCATTCTTGAGAAAAATCATTTTTTCTAAATCAGAGGCGAAACAGTCGAAATTTCTGCCCGTAATTCTCGATTTTCTCTCAACTTCTATGTAATAAAAATACCATATTCGGAATCAGGATCAAAGACTGAGTCGAATGATATGCATTTCTATCCTATCCGACTACTGTAATTTTTTTCGAATT